CATACCCAGAGAACATGCATGTCTAAAATACATCGTTAAGACGTCTAATAGAATACTGTTAAATAGCAGGAGTTTATCCGTTTCTCTTTCAAAGAATTGTGCTGCATAGTTTACATATAGACTTGCACTTTTATTTGTTTCATCGTTGACACTGCATAGTTGTATTTTTACAGTTACAATTCAAAGTATCAGAATACTAAACGATAACTGTGAAGTCAATTAGTTAGATTATTGTAGTATTTCGCTAGAGACTTCGCTGCCTGGGAGTATCACGTTCAAATTAGCGTCGAGTTTTTTATCGTTGCCAACAACGTCGGGAATTCTGCATGATGTATCCATGTGGCAGGATTCTAAAGGAAATAATTTTCATGTACATATATGTATATCAAAATTTTTCAGCGTTATATAGGAAAAAATTATTTTAGTTGCTGTTGCATCAATTCCCCATTTTATTGAGAAAGATGAAATTTAAATACTCCAGTCTACAGTATTTGTTCTTAGTTGACTTCACCTTGCGAGCAGCAAATCCCACTTGAAGCGCATCTCGCTGTATTTCCACGACACATCGCGTATCCAGCGACGCAGGGCCTGGTATAGAGACTCTCCTTTCTGCACCGATATGTTTCTGGTGTGCCTATGAAGCAACCGATACTAGGGCCACAACAAATATAAGGCCCAAAGCATTGACCTAGACGGTTAGGACCACACGAAGGACACTGGCAGAAGAATATTGTGTTTAATTCAACTTTTATAATACGTTAATTTAATATTTCTATACAAATTATGAGAAAAAATATATAAATAGATGTTTATGCGAATATTTTGCTAGAAAATAAACAGGAAATTTTTAGATTTGAACATAAAGATATATATTTGGTCGCATATATATTTTTCTGTTTCCTTTATTATGTATTTGCATAAACGTCTTTAGTCTAATCGTTAGACAAATATAAGATATAGACAAGTTATGGTTCAGCTATTAATTAACATGGAGTTAAAAGAATTTTTATTCTCCCGAAATTTTGCTTCTGATGCTATAAACTTCGTTGCTTTATTGATTATCCTTAAATTTTCAACGTCAGTGTTTTCTTGACCATACCTGGCATCTTTAGTAATGCAGAAAAATTATTGCGAAAAATATTACCTCGACCAGGGTTTGAGAACTTGGACCTCCCTACACTTTAGGCGGGCGTCTCACCAATTCGACCACCGAGGCGTATGATAATATTTGTCGCAATAACAGGATAAAGATGTTGTCTACGCGTATATTTTCGACTCTTGTGTCCTCAAATTTTCTTCATAATTATATTAATAACAATTGTCAAAATTTTACTAACACATATTGAAACTAGACATAATTTTAGTACAATTACCACCTATCAGAGTAAAAAGAAAAAAGCAATATTCAACATTTAAAAAAAAGGAATGGCACATACAATATAAATTTTAATTATTTATTTTAATTACACGTTTAACAGGGCAAATCTAAAAGTTTCAGGAGTCTTAACTTAAAATTGTCTGTTAAAATAAAAAGAATTTTACCATAAAATAAAACGTAATATAAAATATAACGTACTTCCCGTACAACAGTTCCTAAAGAAGGTGCGATATCACCCCTCTTCCCGCCACGAGGACAATTCGTAATCAAACAAGCATAACTTAAAAAGATCAAACTTGCAAAAATGACGAACTCCTTTAACATTCTGACTATATTTTGGCGATGTCGCACGAGATGATACGCAGAAGATCGGAAAGATACTACTGTACCTCGAGAAGGCTGCCTTGGGTATTTATATCGTTGAATCTCCGTACTTAACATTCCTTCTGAGTATTCGGGAATATTTCCATTCACAATTCAGCACTCTAAAGATTATGGAAATCCGATCTCCATGCGAGAATAAACGTATAATAAGATGCCATTCTTCCATTCATGGTTGCAGAAGCTTTTTTAATATAAAGAAAAGCTAAAAGTAACTTTTACAAAAGTTTTAAATAATATAAGTATAATAATTAACACTCATCTCTTGTATTCATATAGTTACACATCTATTGTAACTTAAAACGGGAACTAGTCAACCCGACTGGCATATTCCTTTATTTGTTTAATACAACGTTTTGTCCCTATTTTTTGGGTCCTTATCAAGTAGTACTGCAAATCAACAATACACGCAATTATAAGATTTTGTAAGTTAATAAGTAAAATGAAGGGAATTAACGAACATAGAAATGACATCAAGAAAGATGAAAGCTGTCACTTTACAATTAGCAAAAATCGCGTATTACATGACCACGAGGCCAATGGATCGAAACCAAAAATCTTACATAGCGAGCGTCTCACGAGAAAGAGAAATTGCCGAAATGTTTTTTTATCAAGAAGACCAACACGATAAATTTACAGACACTGAAAACTTAAATGTAATATACGATTGTGTAATCAAAACTGTATAGGTCGCAATATCACCTTGTTTTGTTCCTAAGACAATACTTACAAATTAGTTCGAGCCTAGCAGCCAGTGCTTACATGTACATACACGTATTTTTATAATTCGACTCTGTCTTATGTGACGACGATGACTCACTTAGGTCCGATTCTTTCGTTTTACTTATCTATAACTTACAAAATCTTATAATTGCATGTATGTTGATTTGTACTATTTGAGGATTAAAAAAAATAGGATCGAAATGTTGTATTAAAAAAATTAAGGAATATGCCAGTCGGGTAGACTGCAAGTTTCCCGTTTTATTTAATTTTTAATAATCACTGGTGAGTATAAACAAACTACAATTTATTGCAACAATACATGAGAATACACACTAATTCCTTAATTTTATTCGTTGCATTTTTTCTTTTTTAAGTTCTTATTCTTTTTTCGTCTTGAGGATTCCTTTTTATTACTTACCACGACGGTTTTCCGTTTAACAACTTCCTTAGAATGTCGCACTTTGCTTTTCTTAGTTGAAGACATCTTCAATTCACAGTTTGCTCTGCGTTTCTTTATACCTATCTCACTTGGAATTTCGGTAGAGAGTAAATTAGGACATTCTTTTCTAGTGTGACCTGCAAATAATATTAATTAATAAAATGTTATCAATGGAAAAATTAATTAGAAGTATTAACAGCGATCATACTGAGGTATCTACCTAATTTATCGCAGTTAAAACATCTTCCTGTGACATTCGGTATTGTGCCACACGTATGTTTCTTTAACATACATCTTTTGCAAGTTTGACAATGTCTCCAAGTAGGCTTGACACATCGTCCGCATATGTTGCAGTGCTTGTACGTTTGACCATCTTTGGAAGTGCATTCTTTGCACATCTTGCAATGTTTGTTTTCGCTAGAAACCCATTTTTTACAATTCTGACAAAATTTATATCCATCGGATGAAGGTAGCTGCAGTAGATTCAACGGTATATTCGTAAAAATTCTCACTGGAGAACCATGCTTTCTACCATGTTTTTCCGATACAAATAAGGGATGATTATCATAATTCACTTTATAATCAGACATTTTTAAATCTTTCAAGCCACCAGTCACTTGTGGCGGAGTGCTCTTTTCTCTCATTATGTGCTCCATAAAATATGGAGATATAAACATGATCTTCAGGGAACACTTATCATTGTTATCGTATTTATTCAACGTTCTGTGCAGATCAGATATCCTTTTTATAGTATACGAAATGGGCTCCAATCGGCCACCGAACGGAGGATCGCATATTAAGTAAGTATCCTTCCCCTCATTTTGAGTAAGAAAATCCTCGAACACACCTACGGCATCATTGTGAAAAAAATGATGATTGAAAAGATTGTACCAGCAATAATCCAGCGGTCCGAAAAAGTTATGCTGGAATTAAACATATTTATTAAAATGTGCTTATAAAAATTATTAAAATATATTTTAAATCGACGTAATAATTGACAATTCCCTAGCTAAAAATACTCACAAATCTACCATCGAAGTCTAAAAGGAGGGAAGATATTTTATTTGCGTGACGCTCGATTATACATTCATGTATTCTTGGTGCACCGATACAAATGATCTGCTTAGCTTTAAGTTTCAAAAGCATATTTATTATGTCCTCCGTAGATTTCTTGGAAAATAAATATTGCGCTTCCTGCTTTGCGTTCTCTAAAGGTTTTAAAAGCTCTGTTGGGTGACACATCTGATAATCGGTTAGATTCTTTGTGATCTCGTGATCCGTGTGCTCGTCTCTCTCAGACTTATATATCAATCTCTCGCAATTATGGCAATAGCATCTGTCCGCCACGGGCGCTGTCTTGAGTTTGTTAAACCGAATATATAAATCTTGATGAACGTGACGCTTGGCAAACTTCTTATTTTCTAGCTCCCACATAGACTTCTGAGACTTGGACAGTTCCTGCCCACATTTTAGGTAAAATTTACATAATTTTCTGTCACGACAAGCGGAGCAAGCGTAAAATCTCTCCACTCCATCCTTGACATTTCTGCCAAATAGTAATGTTGGTCCTGCAGAAGGAGGAAAATTAGGTAATTTGTCAGTATAACTCCAGCACTTCAAAAATCAATAAAATTAGTATCAATCGACGCGTTTTTACATAAAAAAAGAATATATTCTCTGCTTGAACCAAAAGCACAAACAGCGAATGCGGAAGTGGCCACAGAGCGTGTGTATGTAGCCTCGAGCATGTCGTGTGTCGCTACATTTCACGGGTATAACAGGTTTCCTAACCTGTAAATTCGCTAACTTTAACGATTAATTTATCGCTTCGCGGGACAGAGCGATACTTCTTTCTGCCAGATCGTTTATGTAAAATTTCATGTAAAACCGCGTCGATTGAGACTAATCTTATTGATTTTTGAGGTGCTGAAGCTATACTAAAGAATTACCGAAAATTGATTTCTTTTATATTAACATAGTGAGCATTTTAATGTGCAGATGTGAGAGAATTACCGTGAAGACACTCGGGATGTTCCGCGGGATTTTCCCACACGAATTCTATCCCACGTGCGACGCACATTTTGTCACGTATTCAATTCACAGGTGAGTTTAGGGCCCGGATGAAAATGTATGTACATACATGGGCGTAGCACAGTATAACCAGTAGTTGCACTCTCTGTCGGCGCCTTTGATCTGGGCGTTCTCAATTTTCCGCCATGTTTTTATTCGCGCCAACAGTGTATCAACGGCTAAAAGTGCCTGGGCCCTTTTCAGGATCGTATCCAGGAAAGGCACATACGAACTGGCATACATTATTTATTGTAAATGGAAATGGCCTATGAAAGAAAATGTTCTAATAAAAGTATTTACCCATTATTCGTCAACACTGCGAATTTTTCAATGTCACACCGACTTTGCACTAACACACGTACAAAAATCCTGTGATTGGTCAGAATAAAAACATGTCGGATGCGCAGTACGGATCGGCGCGAACGTGAAACAAAAGAGCGAGTGCCACTACTGGTTATACTGTGGGCGTAGCATGGACATGCAACAAGTGGAGACTTTATCGGCAGTACTTGAAAATGGGTGTAGCGGAATAGTTCCAAAAATGAAAATAGGGATAAAGCGCTGTAATCAGTCGAGCGAAAACTGTAACATGCAAAACGCCGGGATGGCCGCTCTCAGGTTTCACTCTGGTTATACTGTGATCGATGCTTGAAAGCTCGCAGCCTGATTGGCCGCTGCTTTCACGTTTGAAAGTTGCGACCGTTGCGAATCTAGTTAACGTACAGTTGTCGGACGCGGAGAAAGCGTCGGTCGGCCGCGAGAATCCGCTCCGCGTTTCCGTCGATTTCGGCTCGCCGAGAGGGCGAGCCCCGTGTCCGGGGTGTCGTGAGTGAGTGGCGCGTTCGTAAGCTCGTTTGTAGCGTTCCAGCAGCCGCCGGGAGACGCGTGCCGGGAAGTTCGGTTGTCGTGAGTGAGCCATAGTCGCGAATGGCGGCCGCTCCGAGGCTACTCGGAAGTTTAGTTGTTGCGTCTCGCGTGCCTCAAACCGCCGAAAAAGTCGCGAGTGCGGTGCGAACGGGAGTGTCGCGAGTGTCCGGTCTACAACGCGCGTTAACTGTCGACCGATTATTCCGTGTGTCGCGTGAGTGAATTTCGTCCGTCGCGAGTGTTCAGTCGCCGATGCGGCTTACTGTGTGTAACATGAAGTGTGTGATATCGCATACAATGCGATATATGTGGCAGTGCATGTGTTCTATTGTGAAGTGTTAAGTGAGTTGTGACCAATTGGGATTACTTCGCGGGAGCAACTCAACAACCGATCCAACGAGGGACCACATGACGGAGTCACATGACGGAGTCACATGACGCCGGCGACGCCATAACGATTATCGATCGGTCATCGTGGGATCCGCCGTATCGCAAGGTAAGTGGTCCTTACTGCAATACCGACAACGCGACAATTATCTATTGCGGGTGGTGGCTCGTAACCCCCTCGAGCGGCAATAGATGGCGCGCGGCAATAGATTTCGTGCCGGGGCATAGGATATCGCGTTTAAACGAAATAGGATAGGACATAGGATATCGCGTTTAAAGAAAATAATTCATTTTCGGGACTTGCGATCTTTTTGCGCCAACTTAG